AGTTTTATTTTCGATTTCAAAATCAGGAACCTTTAATGGTTGAGTCGATAATATTTCTTCAGTTTTATTTTCGATTTTAAAATCAAGAACCTTTGATGGTTGTATTTCTTCAGTTTTATTTTCGATTTCAAAATCAGGAAACTTTAATGATTGAGTCAATAATATTTCTTCAGTTTTATTTTCGATTTCAAAATCATGAACCTTTAATGGTTGAGTCGATAATTCATTTACTTGCTTATCGTCATTCAAAAAACTTTTCCTTATGTTATATTTTTCTTCACTTAGTCGTAATTCTGATTGTCTCACAATTCTATACCAGTAATTTAGTTCCGAACAAACTTGATCTGCAGTAGGCCTTTTTCGTGAATCAGAATCCATACATCGTTTAGCCAATTTAATATAATGATCAGGTGTTTCGGAAGCAAATTTCGGTCGCAATCCTTTACATATATTACGTACAAGTTTAACATTATGTTTAGAATCATCAAAAGGACGTTTTCCAGTCGACATTTCAGCCATTATAACACCCAAGCTATAGATATCTGATGCTTGAGTGTATGGATTTCCTTTCAGGACTTCTGGATCAACATAGGGTAAAACTCCATAAATTTTTCCTGAACTTTGCTCATTATTTTTTATGGATAATCCTAAATCTGAGATAAAAAGTTGGTCTATTTCTCGTTTAAATAAAATATTATCACTATGCAAGTCAGCATGTATATATCCTGCTTTGTGGATTTGAGCTAAATCAAATGTTATGAATCTAAGATATCGTAATTTAGTTTCCCACGTAAGCTTTTTATTTAGTAATTTACGAAGGTTTCCATCAGCATATTCAAAAATCATCATGAATTTATTTGTATGTGGATTTTTGGTTAATCCATATATCTTAAGCCCATTACCTTTTCGTGTGCACCGAACATGATTTTTAAACTTGCCAATTCATTTAAGTATATTAATACAAAGAAGATCAAACAAATTCATATACAGTAATAAACACTAATTTAACCTACCTCTTTTAAAGAATATTCATGTAAATCCTTGACTGCAACAATACTGCCTCCTTGTTCACGTGTCCTCACGGGTATATTACCGATATTATCAATTATTCGTATGCCATCCAACCAGGTAGCAGAAAATACGGTTCCAAATCCTCCTTCACCAATTTTTTCGATTTTATCTATTCTATTAAACGGAATCCATTCAATCACGTTTTCATATTTGGTAGTTTTAAGTTGAAATTCTTTAATGCAGTCATCAGCATATTTATCTCCACTCGAGAACTCACTATGAGCTGTTAAGTCAGGGTCACATGGAAGACACCATGATGGTGATGTGTTGCTTTCTTTACAATGCTTACATTGCCCATTAGAAGAACGTCTACAATTTTATATTCAAAAATATCGAATCATTAATTACATACTTTCTAATTTTGCAAATTACTAAACGTATATACTTACCGCCTATTAAAATTCCTTAAGAACACTGTTTGTAAACTGCATATATTGGTTTTTGTATTATACTTACATACTAGAATTAGAACGAAATCATTTAGATAAATTTTACTAATTTGAAACTTCCATTTTATATGAACAATTTAATTTAATACTTACAAACTTTATACGAATAAAAAAGTCGAAATTTATTAATAGAAATCTTATGACATCTATTAATACAGTATATCCACTCACCGGCTATATTGCAAAAATTACATAAATGACTTTAAAATTATATTTTATAAAGAAAGAATATTTGGGATTACTGACAGACTAGACGTTGCACATCAAAAAGCTAATTATCTATAGGCGCTTGCAGTATTAAGTAATGCATAATGGGCACCTTCTTAATGTATAATGTCCGAATGTTGGTCAGTAATGCTTGTAAATAATTTTTATACTAACCCGCTAAATTCAGATGATAATTACTGATTAAAGATAAATCTCTAATTGGATTATCAATTTCATACATACTCACAAGCTTTTGCATCAAACAGGAGACATTATAAATTCTGATTGGCTTTTAATTTTTCAGACAACCCGTTTATACAATACCATATCTTTGCAACAGTTGTATTGCAGGCGAGACTGAATCTTTTACTAGAGTGATGCATACAGTACCATACTTTACCTGAAAAGTTTTTCTATCTTTAATGTGATCATATATATACACATCTTTGGTTTTCCTAGTGAGATTTCGGTTTTATCCTTTATTTTTAAACTCTTAGCTAATCGGGTTTCGCCTACAACACAACCAATAGATACTTTCCCAGTATTATATCGGGTTACTGAAAATTGGTTTATGGAAATTTTTTTTAGATCTTTTACAGTATAAGGGACAATACTTTATAATTGATTAGCATTACATTTATTAAAGGGTCTCTTATGCTGAAAAGATCTATTGTCATATATGTTATACTCACTCACTAATTACATAATTAAAATTAATTAAATGCAAACCTATTAAATTGCTATTTTTAAATTTATTGTATACTTACAGGCTAAATAATGAGACAAAATATTTTTTAATAATAGGCACTTATTAGTACTTACAGTCAACCCCATGAAAGTGCAAGTTGTTGAGAGAAATGATTTGTATAGATATGTACGGATCGCTTGCAATATAGGTGATACATATTCTAAATCAATTGATTAATTATACTTTTTATTAATAGTCTCACTTATACTGCAAGAGATCCATATGTAATTATGCTTTTGTCTTAACTAGACAGGAAAAAGAAATAGTGCAAATTTGCAAAGAATATTTGCACTATTTTTTTTACTTATGTAAATATAATATTTATGAATCAATCAGATAATATATATTTGCAAGTTGACCGTATTAATAGACATTAAACATTTATAAACAACTTACTCGCTAAATTAATATAATTAAGTTAAATACATTTAATATTGGATTTTACTGTAAATTGACTATTAAATTATTTCTTACGTATACTTACTCACTAAGTTAATAAATCAATAATTAATATTCAGGAATTTTGATTTTATTAAATATTCTTTATACTTACAAACTAATTATCATAAAAGGTTTGAATATAGCTTGATTTCTAATAAATATTCTAAATAATTTTATAATATACTAACCAACTTAATAAATGATTTAAGAAGAATTATTTAATAAGTAAGACCTTCAAGTCTAAATAATAAATATAATAAATATAAATTATTCTATACTTACACGCTAAATATTATGAAATGGCTTATAAGAAATTTCTTATCAAATAATAACTTTTTTTATAGATAGAAAGGTTGATACAACATACCGGCTATTTAACACGGATAAAATTAATAATGTATATGAATTTCTGACCTAATACTTATCATCAATACTCACTCACTAAATTAATTTAAATAGGGAAAAATATAATTAATCGACTATAATAACAATTTCGAATAAATTTATTGTTAAATACTTACTCTCTAAATTAACACAAATGAGTTAAATTGTTAATTTTTCTCTTAGTTTGAATATTTATATACTCACTTGCTGAATAAGCATTAATGAATTTGATTTTTAATTAATGCAATAAATTAAATCATTAAATTGTTTATTTTTTCAAACAAGAAATTTTAAATAATACCTACTGGCTAAATGAATTAATTAAATAAATAATGAGTTTAATTATGGTTTTGATGTTTTTTATAGCTTTACTTACTCACTAAATTTAAGATAAAAGTTAAAATTTTACATATATGAATAAATTAGGTCATTAATTGATCTATAATACTCACAAGCTTATAAATAAGAATTATTGATTCAATTACAGTTAAATAGTATAACTCAGATGCTTTTATTAAAATTATAATATTTACCAGCTAATGATAAAACGATTAGAGAGGTGCGAGCATTTTCTTATTCTTGAAAAGTTATAATTATACTCACGCACTAAATTAGAATAAATAAAAATAATTGTATATGTTAATTATATTATAGGATTGACTTGCTTTTAATTGATTTTGAAACATTTTATGAAAGTCATTTTCGAAAGAGCGTAATCTTAGCAAAACCATAGTTAATGCTGATTAGCAATTTCGGATTACGTTATCTTTGAAGCTGAGTTGCATACTTACTCACTAAATTAGTATGTAATGAGGCTTAACCAATGCTTATAGTTTATACCCATGAAATTATATACTTTTTATGTAGATATTATACTCACAAACTAGCAAAAAAAAAACAAGTTAAATAGTCATTGCTTAACAATCAAATTGCCTGTATAATAAATGAATTTCGTACTTACAGGCTAAATTAATATAAATAAATAGTGTGAAAAGCATTATTTTGTTTTAATCTCACCTATACAATTTATACTTACAGACTAATCAATGTATAAAATGATTTGAGAAAAAATTAACGACAGATTCGTATATTAAATTGCTTATTTCAAACATATATTGAGTATTAAATAACTTTATAATGTACATACTCGCTAAATTGATATGAGTGATCTTATAATCTTGTAATATCATATTGAATGCTTAATAAATAAGATCTTTGCTAAGAAATGCTTCGGGACTATGTCAAACATTATCTCGAAGATCATTTTTACTAGCAAAGTGCTAAATACTATCAATTATACTCACTCGCTAATTAATTGAAAAAGTATTAAAATACATTCAATATAAATATAAAGTGTCTCATTATATGAACTCTTATACTATATAATACTAACCGACTGAGCGTAAAAGGAATTTAGGCATTAAATAATGATTAATTTTACGATTTAAATCAATAGTTTAAATAAGCAAAATAAAAATTATACTTACTGCCTAAATACCATAATTTGGAAATATTTTAATGACAGATTAAATAATAAAATTCTAATTTTAAGTAGATACGGTATTATCTTACCGACTATGTTAGATAAAAAAACCGTAGTTAGTAGTAATAAATTACCGACTTATCAGAACTTGGCCCTTATATTATGCTTACCGACTAAATTGACACGAGTGAAGCAATATAATTAAATTATTTTATAACGCAAATTTAATTATATAGTCGTAAATATACTTACAAACTAAAATAGAATGAAATAAAAATTAGATATTTTTATTAACAGCAATACACTATCACTTTTAGCTTGAATCACCAAAATTAAATAATTTACATGCTAAGTTTGATATAATAATGTTAATTATACATCTTTAGTAAATATAAATGGAAGATTAAAATATTCGTACTAACTAAATTAAACGTGAAATAATATTATTTAATATAAAGCTTGTGATATTTAAAATATACACTGATGTTTATACTCACAGGCTAAATTCCGTATGCAAATGATTAATAGAATGAATTTTATTAGCTTAAATTATTGATTTAAGGATAATATTATACTTACTCACTAAATTTGCATAATTTATATAATGAATGATTAAAATATAATTACTAAATACGAATATAATAAACATAATAAAAAACTAACTACTTTTTAAGATGTTCTTTCGCTTTTTCTAAATCTTCAACAACACCAATTCCAAATAGATAGCAAATTCCAACTTTAAACTTTCCGTGGGGATTACCCTCAGCATAAGATTTTTGAAAATACTCGAATGCTTTTTGATAATCTTTTTCAACTCCGATTCCGAAATAATAGCGATAACCAACATGATAGCTTTCTTTTATATCATCCATTGGGTACAAGTTACGTTTGTCTCTCGACACAAGTATAGTGAAGAACAGTTTATATAAAACTCTCTTGATAGAGTGAATTTATTCAAAATTTACCAATAGACTCTCGATATAATAAAGAAAATTTCACAGCCCGAACACTTCACTATAACGAATGTGACTTATATATCCTCTTAGCAATTACATTTATAGATCATTTGACCAGCCTGTAATACAAATATTTTAGCCTAATTAATGGTTAATTAATTCTAATTTGCACTTTTTTGCAGTACATTAGACTCAAATGAAAATCTAGAATGGGGAGTTCGCGTTAAAAATCTGATTTCACATTAAATGTGCTGTGCTGGTGTAACCTACTGCTACTGCTCGTGTATGAACATACTTATGATTTAGAGATCTAAAGAGCATGGTGGACAAACCCGAATTTGGTTATGGTCGTCGTAATTTAACCCTTCTAATCTTTCTTATATCCGGTAATTTCTAAATTAAGGTTAGTTCCTTGTTCATTAAAAATTCTATTGTTAGTAGAGTAACATGATATTCATTTGTTTGTCGTATCTTTATCTGATAACGATAAGCCTTTCCATACAGTAGTTTAAATTGTAACAGTAATAATAAAGGCGAGTCTTGAGTTTTTCAAGTATGGCTTACACATCGATCTACATGTCCGGATTAAACATTGCCGGTGTTATACCTGAATATTACTGTATTTCCTTTTCTTATTTTTTTCTTTATTTAGTATTTCATTATTTTATCAGTATTATTTTATTATTTACTTATTTGGGCATAGACTGCGAGATGATTTTCGTGGCGAGAGAGTCTAAACCCCCGTAGAGATTCTAAAACCCTCAGAGGGAGTCTAAAACCGGAGGGAGTATAAAACCCCCGATGAAGTCTAAAACCCTCCGAGGGGGTTCAAAACCTCGGACTAAATTTTCTGCTATAAAAGAATGAATTTCAGTCTTAAATAAGGGCAGTTATCGCTCATAGTAGTTTACGGTTTCAGTTGTATTCATGTTTGAGCATAATTCAATTGTATTAAATTTATCTGAGAAACTTTAATAAAAGAAAAGCTTTAACCCGTGATTTTAAGAAGTGAATTTTTAATTTCAAATTAAACTATAAACTCGTAATTCTACTACGTAACATTAATGTCCGAACTACCTACCATGTGATATACATAAATTGTCATACAACCCATACCCATTTTGTTCATGATTGAAGCTAAACCGAACTTGAATATCCCAAGGCTCTCCCACTTGACCATAACGCTAGTAATCTCTTTATTTGGTTCAATATTGCCAAATTAGTTATACAAGTGGTGAGTTTGGATGTTTGGCAAATATTTGTTTAATTGTTCTAATTGATTGTGTTAATGTATTATAGCATTGACCAATTTTAGGTTTTCTTAATTTTAGTTGGTCCAGAGTAGGGTCTCATGAGTCATGCTTTATAATAGAGCATATAAATTCTTGGTTCTGGAGTAATTCCATTAGTTATAGTTGTCAATTTTCTTTAATATTAGGTTTTTCTTTGAGTTTCTTGGCTATGTATATTCAGTCTTGTGGTTGGAATATTGCTAGGTATTTGTAGCTATAGTATGCATTTAATAATCTATTAATTCTGTTAATTTTTCTTGTACCTTATTTTTCTCAAATTCTAAATATTTTTTATATTTTTCAAATTAGAATATTTCCTTTCTTGATAATATTTCTACTTGTTTATGATATTCAATATATTTCTAGTCTGTCATTGTTGGTATTTGTTCACTTATTTCTTCTTCATTGATTAGATTTTCTATTTTTTTAAAGCAATATTTTGCTTAGTTAAAGTTTGTATATTCTTGTTTTATATCATTGTAACTTTTAAAATATCTATGTATTTTATCAAAAATGTAGTCTAATAATTGTTTAATTATTGGTATTAATGATAATTGTATTACTTTGCCATAAGTATCACAGGTTGAATCAATGAATAATGGGTATATATCAGAAGACAAATCTTCCGGTATGTACCCATTATTCTACCACATATCTGCCAAATAACTGTAGCATATCAGTAGCATATTGGTCACATATAGGTTAGATATTAGAAGATAGACTGATAATAGTAATATAACAGTAACATACTGGGACATTCTGATATCTTACTCTTATTTAAATAGTGCTAAGAGTAAGATATCAGGATGTCCTGATATGTTACTGTTATGTTATTATTATCAATCTACCTCCCGATATCTAACCTATATGTTACCAATATGCTAATGATATGCTACAGTTATTTGGCAGATGTGTAGTAAAGTAATAGGTATATACTAGGAGATTTGTCTCCTGATATATACCCGTTATTCATTAATTCAACATATGCATACCATTTCTATTCTAATGCATTTTCTGGTTTAATTCTTTGTAGTTGAGTTCAAATATTTACTGGGTAAATAAATACTGTTCATCTTATCTTATATTTATCTTTTTCTGATGAGCAGTATTTTTCTACTACCATTCTTGTCTTTAGTGCTTCTCATATTGCTGCAATTTCTTCAGCTTTACATGATTTTCTTTTTTGGTCTAATTTTTCTTTGCCTCTCATTTCTTGGTAATCTCTGTAGAATACTTTTTTAGGGTTTATTCTTTGTGATAGCACTATTTGATATCCTTTTGATGAGTGATATCTAAATAGTGTTGTTTGGATTATATGTCATATTGGTATACTAAGATGATTTATTAGTAATTGAGCTATGAATTCTAAATTTCTATATGTAAAACAAATATTGTAATATATCTCTTGATTTCTATTAATTATTTCTCTATAGTCTATAATATTATAAAAGTTATTGTAAATACTACATTTCTAGAGTACTCCAAATTCTGGATCTTCAATTAGTAGTAGTTTTTCTATTTTTGTTATTAAGTTGTGAATAGTAAATTCTATAGATTCAATATTCTCTAATTCTTTTTAAGTTTGTATTGATTCATTTTGTAGGTATTGTGATTTCTTTTTTTTGTATTTGTTAGTTTGAATTCTTCTATAGTTTCTATCTATTTCCTTACACTGGTAACAGCATTGTAAATTTTCTTATTTCTTTGTAGCAAGAGATATAATGCGTGTTCAAATGCAAGAATTATAAATCCAAAAATTATTAAAAAAGTCAATACTTTGTCTATTGTATTTATAATAATAGCTAAATAACTTCCAAAAAATGGCATAAATCGGAGAAAAAGAATAAATTTTAATTCAAGAAATAAAGTCAAAAGTGTGATAGCCCAAATTGAAACAGTGCCATTTATTAACCAATAATGGATGTTAAAATAGTAGACATTATAACAACAAGATCTATTTAAATTACCATTAAAATTTAAGTATATATAATCAATGATCATATTAATAAGAATTTACCTATATGATTCCAAGTACTTGAAAAATAATGTCAAGGTGAGAAATAAAATTACGAATTTCAATGTCTAAGAAATAAATTTGATAATCCCAAGAAATGTTACTAGCCAAAGTGGGAACTATAATAAAACTACAGGCAAATATTACATAAATTGCCCTAATTATTAAATAGCATTTTCTACCAAAAGCATTCCACTTAAAATTAATAATCGTTTCACCATTCCACATTTTACAGAATGATAGATCATCAAAGTTTATAAAGCAACTGGAGAGCGGATTAATGAAATCGCTCCAAGTATTATATACTTTAGGATAGTTAACAAACTTTGGAAAAGGAATAATAAATTTGATTTTAGCCTCAGCATTTGGACGAGTGTTATCAAGTTGTTGGATTGATCGAGAGATATCCATTTCCTGTTTGGATCTATAGAACAACTTATTCTGATAAAAAGTAACAAAATGTAACGTTTGAAAGGATGTTATTAATTAAAGAAGTTTTTTTTTAAAGTTATTATATGTTCCAAAATGGTATAGATGTGGAGTGGATGTTAGTTTAATAATTTCACTATCCAATATCATTTCAGGATCAGCTAATGGCACCACAAATGCAGTTTGAGATAAAAATCTAGTTAAATAAAGTGGGTACCATTGTGATAATTGAGGAAAGATTTCAATTATGATGGATAATAATTGAATGTCTGAGGTAGGTCTAAGACCTTCAGTTGAGAAAGTTATGTCATGACATTGTCGACAAAATTTTTCAACCAACTTGTCTTCTTTTATAAATAAAAAGGTGTCAATTAGAGTTGAACCATAATTGATAATAAAAAATTTTTTAGAGATATAGTCATCTAATAACTCTTTAAAAAAGAATTGTTTCTTATCGCCAAATATCAAGTTTTTATTTTTAATTATGATCTGAAATTTTGAATAAGGAAATGCATTGCTGTATGGTTTTAATTTGGGGGTACACTGAATGGGTTTTCATTTATACCTCCTAAATATAAATTGAATCTTTTTCAGAACTAATTCTTGCTCTTCCCCAATAATAATGTAATCTAACTCCTTTTTGCGGATAAACTATCCAAATTAAAATTCCAAAATTAGTAACATGAATAAATCATCATTTTTAAGACATTGACATTGTATAATTTTAAATTTTTTTATGTGTTCTGGAGGTTGAAAGTTGGGATTTATGGTTCTTTTAGATTTCCCTTCTACTGGTCTCCAAGAACCGTCATTTTGATCTTTTATTTCGGCTTCGATTTCAACCAAAAAACCAGGTCTATTACGTTTTTTTGTAAAGTAACTTCCAGTTCAAAAAGCTACCTGTGAAAGGATATTCGTCCCTTTCCTCCGGTGGAACTTCTGATCCATTGAAATATTTTCCTTTAGATAATTCATCTCAGCAATAAATACACAATCAGAAAGTACATATATCCTATTATAATCTCCAAGCTCTTCCGTATATGCTTTATCCAATTATACGGTTTAACTAGGTCATAGATGTCCAAATTTTCATCTATTATACCGATAACATTATCAGATTTTTTATCGGATTTTATTATATATGGGTCTCGAATCTGCACATCTATTCAAATAATTTCTTAGCGGAAACAGGTTTTTTAAGAGTAAATGGATCCATTAAGTCAATATATCGTTCTTCGTTAATCTAATTGTGTGATTTATTGCTATACAATGAAAAACATATGGGAATAGGTTCGCTATCCAAGCAAGCTCTAGGTACATGTTCGCACTTCAATACATTAACCACAAATGCCTCTGGAACTTTCACAACATCCAAACTGAATCAAAGTGTCTTCCCAACATAGTAGGCCATAACCCACTGACGCCTAGCCTTCGAAATTCCCTACGCCTTCAAGATCCCAATACTCGCACTTCTATCACGAGCCACCAAAGTAGCCAAAGGGGGACAAATAGGCGTCCAAATAGCTAAAAAGAGAATCGGACGTCACTGACGTGTCTATTTTGGGTAGAAACATTAAACTTTGTAAAGATTCTTACGCCGCTACTGCAGCTGTGTGCCTAACTATTCACTAATACGGGTCCTTGCACTGCCCTTGCAGCCGCACTGTCACTGCAGCCGTGAAACCCCAAACTAACTACCAGGTTCTTGTACTGCTACTACAGCTGTGGAGCCTGCTTACTCAATAATGCGGGTCCTTGCAGTCGCGGAGCCCAAAACTGCTAACAAGGGTCCTTGTACTGCCATTGCAGCCGTGGAGCCCCAAGCTTATCACCAAGGTCCTTGCACTGCCACTGCAGCCGTGGAGCCTAAATTCTTGCAATCACAGCTATATGTCCACTCATGTCACACCCTTGTACCTACTAGACCTTTAGACAGCGGGTGGCTGGGTGGGAGATTTTACCAAGGCGAGCGATAGCGAAACGAAAGATAACCTTCTTTCTTCCGCACAAGCCCCCTTATAAAACAATATCATTAAATTTTCACATTCTAAAAACTTAATACCCCTATTCCTGTTTAAACCTTCCAATTTACTGATATTCATATAACTCCAAATTCGCTAAATCATATGCTATCACCGAAAAACCTGCATTTACAAGAAATTTTAACGAAAAAACTAGACTAACATATACACTAATGCGATCTGCAATAAAGTCATCTGATCTCGCAATAATGACCGCTCTGTCACTTCGTTGACGAGCTTCTCAGTTCTTATTGTCATTGAAATCGACTCTACTGTAGATTTGCCTTAATTACGTTGTGAAACCGGAAACGTGACCTGACGCAGGCACGTGCCCGTGACCTCGGACATTTCCAAATTGGGGTTTACCGGTGTGAGGGGCAGAATCGACCCGGTCTCTCCAAATATGGGCCTCACGGATATCTAAACTAATCTAAATCAACACTCTAACAACCAAACTCTATCTAAACTCTAATGGTGGAAGGCACGAAAGAGGGCGTGGAAAGGCTTGGTCCGAGTTATTAGGGCCAAATAGAGCTCTAGACTACGTCACGAGGCTCTCATTCGGGATCACGGGATTAGACTACTAATTCTATGGAAATTTAACTTATCGGGGGGGGGGGTAATTATAGCGAATGTTTAAAGTTGGAATGGTAGACTCTCATTGAGTCGAACTCTAATGAGTTATAGGTGTAGACGTTAACTAGTGATAGCTAGACATTCCTTTATTCAAGGAAAACTCTTAGACTTTATATACACTTTTCAGCTGTTATCTAATTCGCTAATTCTACCTAACATATATAACGTATCTAATATATATAATAAATATAACGTATATAACACATCTAACATATCTGACATATCTGACATATCTGACGGATATGACTAGTGATGTGCCATTTATATGATACTCAGATTTTTTTAGCGTACAGTACGTACAGTACGTACAGTTCGTACAGTACGTATAGTACGTATAGTAAATGTTTTTTTATGCCGTAATTTCGGAATGTTCCGTAATAGGTTCGGAATATTTAGGAACTTATAAGTTTTATGGCCTAAACTTCAGAGCTTATAAAATGACTGTCAAAATTTTAGCGTACAGTACGTACAGTACGTACAGTACAGTACGTATAGTACAGTACGTGGCACATCATTAGATATGACATATCTGACATATCTGACATATCTGTTAGATATGGCAGATCTTTTCCGGCCCACCTCGATCTACTACGCCAAAAAAATGATTTCAAGACACAATTCACCCTTTCACACCGGCCAGAAATCACAGAAAGGCCGTTTCTGGCAGAAATGGCAGAAATTATAGAAATGACAGAAATTATAGAAATGACAGAAATTACAGAAATGGCAGAAACGGCGATTTTGGGATTATTAGGGATTTTGACAATAAGCCCGTTTCTGTCAATAAGGGCACTTTTGGAGTTATAGACGGCTTTTGTAGATAGAATCATCATTATAAATAAAGGCCTTTTGGCCCTTGGGGAATAATGACACCCGATTTACCAATAAATAAAATACCTTAGTCATAAATATATAATAAACTACATTCGTTTATTAACCACTTGACAAATATAACAAGCCTCTTTCGACACTACTTAACCAAGATTTTGGTTACTCGAAGCCAACCACACTCAAGCGACAGACTCGCGATCTCGGAGCTGACAACGTATTTATTAGTTATCGTTATGGTTAATTTTTATTTTTTAGGGATAATATACGTATACGTGGTCATCCCCATTCACCAGATCAATATTTTTCAAGTTTGAAACAAGTTTGGAGACAAATATTTTTAGAAAATTCGGAGCCACTATCACACGAAACTGATTCAAAACTTTTTATACTGTAAATTATTTTTTTGAATAGGAATAAAATTCATGTGACACACACATCTTTACACGTTAAAAGTGATCCTCACTTCGCCCAAATCATATTACATATTTCTAAGCAATTTATTAAATGCATAAAAAAATTGAATATTTAGTCATAATTATTTTCAAATTACAATTCTTGTCGATTCAAAAATGCATATGCATAACATTGTTCCTATTGGAAATATTTTCCGAAGCGTAGTGGGAAACACATGTCCTGAATATCCGCACATGATATGCTTATTAGAATTAACGTACAAGCGCGAAATAACGCCAACCTGCGCGTTATTTCGAGTACGCGCATGCGCATTATTTCGAAACAAGAATTAAATTCGCACTCCTAACTATAAATAGTATTTATTTATAATAAGACAAAAAGTGCTCCGGAATTGGATCTGATATTAAGTAAACCTATTTCTTGGTTTTAGCAAAAGTTGTTCTTCAGGTCAAGACAATTATAATAGTGGTAAGATATCAAAAACAATCCGGTAGTCCGTCCACAATGCCTCTTCAAAGTTTCGCAACGTTTGTATACCTTTGTAAACAAAGATAATGTAATTTGTTTGAGACATGGCAGGCCTAATAAAAAAATAATTAATAATTAAAAAAACATTGTAAAACTTTAAACAATCAAGTTTTATCTACTTATTTTTTATACCAACTCTTTAAATTTTAGGCTGCTGGTTTACTCTGAATAACAAACAGTTTAAACAAGCCTAACTTATAACTTCTGAATTCTTATAGCTAATTCAAAGTGTCAACACCAAATACATTGCTGATATTTAGGCCTATTATATTATCAATAATATCATTATTTTTTTTATTAAATACCAACTTCAAAACATTGTTCTTAAACAATTTCTCTGTAACAAAATTTTTTCACAGCATATTGGTCTTGTTAAGCATAAAGCTAAACTTAGCTACACTATTCTTACTAGTATTATTTTATATCTTTAAATCTATAATTTTAAAAATATCTAAAATATCTTTAACACCATATTTCTAACTTTTTCAAATAGTTAAACAATAAAAACCTACTTGGGTTATTAATCCAAATTGGAGTCTAACAGTTTTAAAATAATTTCTAGTCACTTATTAGCATTTACTACACTCCAATCCTATT